TTAGGGCTCCGGCGAAGAGGAGATTTAGAGCGCTCCCACCATCGATGAGCACTTTTCTGAAGAGCACCTTGTAGACGGTTGCATTGAGGACGAGGGGCAAATGCCCTGTGTAGGGAATATCTGCCCACTGGTCGGCCCTGCTAAAGGTGATGGGGACATCAGACCATGGGCGATAGCTGGGGTTGGCGGTGGCGTCTTCCGTAGTGACGGAGAGCACCGGCCGTGCGGCGAGCTTCCGTTCTCTTCTGCTCTCAGTGGAGGCGAGGCCCCCGAAGATGGTGGCGACCACCTTGTCGTGGTCCTGGAAGGCATTGTTGTTGCCCCCAGGTGGTCAACGACCTCTAGTTCCATCGTTGGCGTCGTCGTCCAGCTTCTTGTCCTGGAACTCCTTAGCCAAACCGAGGCAGTTCTTCATCTTGTGTTTGGCGTTCTTGTGAAGAGGGCATGGGCCATCGAGGATCTTTTGGTACTATCATCGTAGTTGCGCTTGGCGCGAGGTTGACTGACGGCGGCGATGATGTGGTCTGGCCAGCGGCGGTGATTTTGGCCAGACTTGGGTCCTTCTGGCCGATCATGACCACTGTCACGATGATAGCTACGGTCATCGAAACGTCGGTCGTTGTGGCATCGGTCGTTGGGGCGATCGTTGTAGCGGCGAGGTGGGCGATGAGTGCCTGCGTCCTCATTGAAGCGCACCTCGGCTTCCTCGGTGTTGGTGTACTGGTTGGCAGTAGTGATCATCTCGCCGATGCCTGTGGGAGGCTTGCGGTTGAATTTGGAGCGAAGCTCGCGATGGTAGAGTCCTCGGATGAAGGCGGTGATGACCTCAGCTTCCGTGATGTTGGGAATATAGTTCCTCATCTCGGAAAAGCGTCAAATGTAGCTGCGGAGGAGCTCGGACGGCTTCTGGTTGATGCGGTTGAGATCATGCTTGGTGCCCGATCGAGTACACGTGGCCATATAGTTGTCAGTGAAGACTTTCTTCAGCTCTTCCCAGGATCCGATGGAGTGTGGGGCAAGGCTAGTAAACCAGCTCATGGCGGGTGGCATGAGCATGATGGGGAGATAATTTGCCATGACACTGGTGTCTCCTCCGGCGGCGCGGACAGCAGTGGCGTAAGCCTGCAGCCACTGTGTCGGGTTCATCCTTCCTTTGTAGGGCTCGACCCCAGCGATCTTAAAACCATGGGGCCACCGAAGTATTCAGAGCACCCTTATGAAAGCTGGGGCCCCCTCAGGGTTGTCGACGCCGTCGTCTGCAGCGTTGCCGTCAGCGATCGGCTTGAGGGCTGAGTCTAGGTTGCCGTACTACTGCTCGTACTCCTGGCGGCGACATACTTCGTCTTCATGGCGATCGAAGCGACGTTGCTCAATACGCCGTCATGCATCCCGGAGGTTGCTGAGGTGCACTCGAGCGTCCTGTTCGACTTCCTAGTCATGTTGGCGATGGTGTTCGGCGCTGTGGCCCCCGGCCCCCCCCTGGAGAGGCAGCGACTGGTCGACGAAACAGCTTTGACTGGGGTGGCGATTAGATCTCGGCGTAGCTGATCGGCGAATCGTGCTCATAGAGCATGAAGGTCTCTGATCCTCATGAATCTCATTAACCTGACAGTGTGTCGCTTTAAGCATGGTGGTGACCTTGGTGAGCTCGAGCGTCTGTGGGAGGCGAGCGAGCTTAGTGGTGGCCATTGCCAGATTAGCGCTTGGAGTCTTGAAGACGTCGTGGTCGTCAACGCGGAAAAATTCTTCGTCGAGGTCGTGGTGGAGCGGGAGCGGCCTTCCTTATGAATCAAGCTGATTATAACGAGCAGCCTCAGCCCTCGCAATGGCCGCCTCGTTTTCTCGGCGCTGGGAGTGGTTGATGTTCCGGTTCTCGCGAGCGACACGTTCCTCCTCAGTTTCGCCATTTCGAGGAGGGCTGTCGACGCTGACGTTGAAGATCGCGCCACCCTGGAAGGGTGGGAGAAGGAGTTGTTCGGTGAAGGTTTCGGCGAGGGTCTCCATAGAGCCCTGAGACTCGAAGCTCAAATTTTCCTCCGGGATGGTCTGGAGGGACGCTCTGCAGTCACATGTGCGGGGATGATCAGAGCAGAATTGATCTACACCGGCTCAAGGAGCTCTCCGACTCTGTCAGCGTTGATGATCCACGGGATCGATCCGACCGTGAAGATCTAGCCGGGCTGCGGGAGGGACGAAGAGCCTACGGAAAAAAACCATCTTGTTCGACAAGGAAACAACACGCAAACCCCTACCTGGCGCATCAACTGTCGACAGAATACCGTCGGCAGTCCTCCGAGGGGTATCCCACGAAGGTAGATTGATCGGTAGATGAGCGTGAGATCAAGAACAAGAAGGCAACAGAGACACACGATTTAGACAGGTTCAGGCCGTCAGTATGACGTAATACCCTACTCCTGTGGTATGTTGGTTTGTATTAGCTGTCATATGATATTGCGTGAGTTTGGAGGGGGTCCCTGCCCGTCTTATATAGTCCGGGGAGCAGGGTTGCAAGTCGGTTAGATCTAAGAGATAACCGGAAAGTAATAACAGATTACAGGAATCTTGGGATCATACATATCCTAACAAATATCGTAGTATCTTCAGGATATCTTCCAGATGTCTTGCGGGAGCCGCCGAGCAGAGTCGTACCCCGCAAGGCGTCGTCTTGTGGGCTGGGCCACCCCTGGGGGCGCAGCCCATGTGGTCTGCCGATGGTATCTAGGGTCGTACACCCCACATTGGGGCTCGTCGCGATGCAAATCAAAGTGGTGAGGTGGCAGTTGAGACGCTGGCGACCGGGCGCACCCACGAGCGTGAAGAATTGATGGCTGGTGCCCACGCTCTGGCCCTCGGTGGCCGTGGTGGGCAGAGGTGCAGCAGGGGAAAATACGGCGACGGCAGTGGTGTGGCTATGCGCCCTGGCCGGACGTGTATGTCGTGACCGAGTGCTTCTGTCCAAGGCGCAAACGATGAGCGCGCCCTCCACAACCGGCCACGTGCGCACGTGAGACAGGCAGGCGTGGCATGGCCCGCGCAGCCGCAGCGCCATTAAGGCAAGGCGACGACACGAGCGCAACGGGGGCACCCCACGTGCATGCCAGCAACGTGCGGCAGCGGCGCAGCAAGCAGCGATGAGGCGGCCCGCAGCGCGACACGATGAGCAGCAGCGAGGCAGAGCGGCCGCAGCGGGCAGCAACACAGCAGCGGGACAGCACGACGGTTAGGGCAGGGGACTTACGTAGCGGTGGCACTACGCGGGTCAGCCGATCGGTCATGGCGGACAACCGAGCATGGCCAGTGCGCGCGCACGGGTGTCTGACGCGGCGACGTCGCAGCTTGGGAAAGCGGTGATCGTGCCCACGCGAGGGAAACGACCGAAGACGTGACGTGCACGCTTTTTAAAGTGTTCACAAAAACTAAACCGTTGATCCCATTCCAAAACCACCTATGCCATCACCTAGAGGGTACATTAGGTCACTAAAACTACCCGTAACACTACCCTACTTCTTAACCAGATTGCCTTACAAAATTACCAAACATCGCAATGTCTAGCTCACCAAAAGTTCATGAAATCTTCTAAGTGTTGAATGACTTCCTAGTTGCCTTTCCAAACCCTTAGAAATATAAGCTAGCAACATTATTTATCAACACCAAGTATTTCATTGTCATCTACAAAGTTTGTACTTTCAACTTTATTTAAGTGCTGCATATATGTTCTATATTATTTTTGTTCAATAAAAAATGGTTTACAACCCTACTTGATAATTACGCGAATCATGGAATAACTTTCCGATTAACATTTTATTGATCCTTCTACGTTACGACAATTCACCTACTCATTTCACCACATGCATTAACACACAAATATGATGCTCATTACACGTTTTAGTAGATGATTTACGGTGTAACACTGAGGGTGTTACACGTCGCTCCTCCGCAAGCAAGCTCGGGCCAGCGACACATCTCCTCTTCGGCAGCCCTCTCCCCTCCGGCGGCGCCCCTCTCCACCGCAAGCAGGCTCGGCCAGCGGTGCATCTCTCTCTCCCACTTGCTCGCTCTCACTCTCCCTCTCTGCCATCTCCTAGGCGCGCATGCCATTGCCTCCCGCACGAGCTCCACCGGCCACACAGCTCCGCCTTGACTCCCTCCTTCCTCCCCACCGGTTTGCGCCGTCGCTCGTCTAGGGTTGAGGCCCCTCGGGCCGGTTTTCGTCGCCGTACCACCATTGCCGCCCGAGCTCAAGCTCAGCGCGGCCAGACCATCTTCGGTCGTTTCTCTCCCTCCTAGTGTTTGGATCTGGGCACGGCCCCATCCCTGGCACCGGTGGGCGCTGGCGCGGCCCCGTCCCGTCCCTGGCAAACAGGCCCTAACTATGATATCTAATTCCATTTAGCAGATCATCCCTGAGGCCATGGTATTGGGGCTGTCCCAGTTTTCTTGCTAAGGCCCCGTTTAGTTCCGGAATTTTTTGGCTTTTGGCTACTGTAGCACTTTTCGTTTTTATTTGGCAAAAATTGTCCAATTATGGACTATTTAGGCTTAAAAGATTCGTCTCACGATTTCTCGGCTAACTGTGTAATTAGTTTTTTTTCGTCTATATTTAGTACTCCATGCATGTGCCGCAAGATTTGATGTGACGGGAAATCTTAAAAACTTTTGGTTTTTGGCTTGGAACTAAACGGAGCCTAAATTTTTTCTTCTTTCAGTTTCTTTTCTTTTCTTTTTTTTTAGCTTACATAGTAACGTAGACGGTCATTGGACTCTCATGTAGGCCCAACCCAGCTCCAAGTCGCCCTTCGCCTGCAGGCTGCAGCACTTCTCTGCCACCGGCGGCAGTAGCTGACGGCAAGATGCCGTTAAACCGCGGCTTCCTCCCTCTCACAGTCAGAGTCTCGTTCACTGCCCGTGCCGCCTAGGCGCCTACACACTTTCGTCGCCAATGGCGGCTCCCGTCCGGGCCCTCCCGCTCCCGTCGTCCGTCGCCCGTCGCGTACCCCCGCATGTCCTTGCGGGGCCGCAGCAGCTGCAGCCGGCGCCGCGCCCCCGGAGTTCGCGCGGCGGCGGCGGCGGAGGGTGCTTCGCGGGCGACGGAGCCCGTGGAGGTGGTCGGCGTAGGCAGCCGGAAGGACGCCGTCATTGACTTCTGCCTGGGCTCACGCACGCTGTCCTCCACCCCCATCCGCTTCTGGTACGGAACCGACATCGAATTCCTTAACTCCAACACTGCATTGTCTGGCGGTGTACGCGATGCGGACCTCGTTTTTGGCCTTCAGACCACCTTGGCGTGCCCAGTGTTGTTCAGGGGACTCGTGATTTGTAGAATTGGAACCCCATCTAAGCGAATTGATCAATTGCCGAAGTTAATTTAGTGTCTGACTTTGATTTCCACCGGTGAAATTTAACGTGGAATCATCAATGTGTGTTCCTCCATGATGCTACAATATTTTTTTGGAAATATGTAGTTTGCAATTTGCCTTCCCGTAGTGCTTTCGGCCAAACAGAGTGGCATATTATTACCCTGCTGTGATTTTGGTGATTTTTGCTTACCATCAGTTTTTTTGTTACTATAATCATTACTTCACCAAGTATTAACCTAACATGTTATTCGACATTGTGAATTTGAAGATTTTCTGCTTACCAGATTAATATTGGGGAGAGCAGGGAGTTGTCCATGAGATTTAATTGGTTATTTTTTTTGTAGTCATAGTACAAAGAACCTTCCTGCAGCATATGGTAACCTTTTTTCTTTGATGGAATCACCGAAATTGCAAGCAAATGCCTTAGTGAACTAACCCATGTCCCATTTCCTAGTGCATTCTTACACACTATTAGTGTGGTGGAACATTGGTTCCTTTACAATTCTGCAGAGTGCAGACTGCAGTAGGAGTTAGAGTTGTCTCCTGTGCACTAAATAGTAAATACTTCTAAAGTGTGAAACAGAAGCATGAAATATTTGGATACTAATATGTTAATTCGTGAGCTAATTAAGGACTGCATCTTGTACCTTGTCGCTTGATGTACTTGCATTTCCTAATTCAATGTAACGAATTCTTGAAAGAGTACATTGATCTATTTTCACAACAAATTCAGTGTACTGTGCAATTTCTCTGTATTAATATCTCTTTGATTATATAGCTATGATTACCCATTGACACATAAGAAGATTAATCTGCTAGGACAGATCCCTTATTCTGTTGAGTATAAGCTTTGCATTTTCAAATGAAGTGCATGTTTGCTACTCTTGGTTGTTTTTGCATTTATCTTCTTGTTTTATTCTTTAAAAAAATTTAAACCATCTCTGAATTTTGTTTCAGGACAGTACATGTGATTGATAATTCTAAAGTTCAGTTAATACAAAAAGGTCATGGAACTGGTACTGCATCTTTCATGGACTCAACTTCTTGAGTTGATTCAACGTTTTTTATGCGTACATGGTTTTGTGGTTTTCATTCTCTATCTACTATCTTTAGCATGAAACTGACATCTCTCTGTTTTTCAGATGCAGTGTTCAGAGACTTGGAACCTCCTTATTTCTTCATCTGTGCCCCCATGGTTATTCTTGTTTGTGCACTTCTCATCTTTCTTTTTGATACCATATGTTGCTCTCATACTGTTTGGCCTTAGGATATTGAGTGTGCTTAGATATTGTGCTATATCCCTTACCACTCTGTTGTATAATGTTAATGAAACACATGCTACAATTGATTTTTGTCATTTGGGACTGAGATCTGACCGCATATTTTGCTATGACTTTTAAATTTAGGTTTCTAGTGTGGGACAAGATGCTGATCATATTACTGCAATGGAACTTCTTAGCGCTGTCAAATCTGCTGGTAATCTGGCTGCATCAATATTTTTGAAGCCCTTCTGCTTTGAGGGACAAAGAAGGCAAGTAGAGGTAAAAAAAACTTCTGCAGTAAATTTTCTTCTTTTCCATGAACAGTGAACTTTGTGTGTGCAGGTTGCTTAAAAGATGCATAAGTTCTTATAATTTACTATTAATTTCGTCTTCTGCAGGCAGCTGATTTGATTAGCAAACTTCAAACGTGCTCAAAAGTTTTTAGAGCTCTAAACTTTAGATCTGGGGATCCAAACAGGCTCTTAGTGAAGTCTTTATAGTTGTGGTATCTGATGCCTTTTCCACTTTTCATGGTTAAAAGATTGTCCTGCCATTTTATTGGAGGACCTTCAATTTCTCATTGTTTTCTTGAATAAGGGTATATTTGAAAGAACCATTAATTGATTACTTTTTTCATCAGTTGGTACTTTCTATATTTAAACAGATATGTGCAAAATACAGTGTGACTCTCATTTCTTTCTGATGTGGTCTCATGATGTTACGGATTTCAGCTTTTTATGTGATTGTAGTGTTAATAAATATCACTATAGACTAGTCTAGCAGCATATGTAGTCGAAAAAATAGCTGCGCAAATATTACTACATTTTACTCAATGATGAGATTTGAATTTGTGCTAGGTCAGTGCGGAGAATCCAAGAATCTGAGGTCAGAGAGGCGTTGAAAAGGATGAAAGGAGGTAAGGCGATGGGACCGGATGGTATCCCAATCGAGGTGTGGAGATGCCTCGGAGACATAGCTATAGTATGGCTAACCAAGCTGTTCAACCATATTTTTCGATCGAACAATATGCATGACGAGTGGAAGAGAAGTATATTGGTACCGATCTACAAGAATAAAGGGTATATTCAAAGTTGTACTAATTACCGGGGAATTAAGTTGATGAGCCATACTATGAAGCTATAGGAGAGAGTTATCGAGCATCGCTTGAGAGCAATAACGCGGGTCTCTATGAACCAATTTGGTTTCATGCCCGGAAGATCAACCATGGAAGCCATTTTCTTAATAAGACAAGTTATGGAGCGGTATAGGGAGAAGAAGGATCTACACATGGTTTTTATTGACTTGCAGAAGGCTTATGATAAAATACTAAGGAATATTATGTGGTGGGCTTTGGACAAACATAAAGTCCCAACGAAGTACGTCAGGCTCATTAGGGACATGTACAACAATGTTGTGACTAGTGTTTGAACAAGTGATGGAGACACGGATGACTTTCCGATTAGGATATGACTGCATCAAGGGTCAACTTTGAGCCCTTATCTGTTTGCCTTAGTGATGGATGAGGTCACAAGGAACATACAAGGGGACATCCCTTGGTGTATGCTTTTCGCAGACGATGTAGTGCTAGTTGATGAAAGCCGGACAGGAGTGAATCAGAAACTGGAGTTATGGAGGGAGACTTTGGAGTCCAAAGGTTTTAGACTCAGTAGAACTAAAACTGAGTATATGAGATGTGACTTCGGCACTACTACTCGGGATTAAGAAGATATTAGTTTGGAAGGTCAAGTAGTGCCTAGGAATGATACCTTTCGATATTTATGATCATTGCTACAGAGAGACGGAGATATTGATGAAGATGTTAGCCATAGAATCAAAGCAGGGTGGATGAAGTGGCGCCAAGCATCTGGTGTCCTATGTGACAAAAGGGTACCACAGAAGCTAAAAGGCAAGTTTTATAGGACGGTAATTAGACCTGCTATGTTATATGGTGCAGAATGTTGGCCTACGAAAAGACGACATGTTCCACAGATAAGTGTCGCGGAAATGCGTATGTTGCGTTGGATTTGCGGTCATACAAGAAGGGATCGAGTTCGGAACGATGATATACGTGATAGATTAGGGGTAGCACCAATTGAAGAAAAGCTTATCCAACACCGGTTGAGATGGTTTGGACATATCCAACGGAGACCTCCAGAGGCACCGGTGCGTAGTGGAATCCTAAGCCAAGATATTAACGTGAAGAGAGGCAGAAGAAGACCGAAGTTGACTTGGGTAGAGGCAGTAAAAGGAGACTTGAAAGGATGGAATATATCTAAAGACTTAGCCTTAGATAGGAGTGCTTGGAAAACAACTATTCACGTGCCTGATCCTTAATTGCTTCTGCTGGGTTTCAACTCTAGCCTACCCCAACTTGTTTGGGACTTAAAGGCTTTGTTGTTGTTGTTGTTGTTGTTGTTGTATTATGCATAGAAAATTAACTTATACAGTTTTTCTTTACTCACCCATTGGTGACAATTGTTGATATTAGTGGTTGATTATGTGCTGCAATATTTTTTTTTTACAGAAACCATTATGATGAAAGTGTTTCCACAGTACAAGAGGGCTTTCTTTCAAATTTGGCCTTGCATTTTCCTTTTATATCCTCTCTTATGGGAGGAGATATCCCTGAGCAGAAACAAATTAGGTCTAAGCATTCCTTTAATCATCTGCCTGACAACAGATCTAATTCTGTAGAACAAGACGAATTCTCACAACTTTCTAATTGGTCATCTGATGCTACTGTTTCCAAATTATTTCCTGAAGAATTTGAGGATTTGGAATCTGTGAGGTAACTTACGGACTTGGCTTCTTTCCTTTTGTCCCAGGAAAGCTAGTTCCTTTTTTTTTTTTTTAAAAATTATTGTTATGACCAAGCATGTCCACTGCAATTCTGTCTTAGAGGCAGTAATGACAGGAATGAGAGAATAAAGCCAGAATCTCTGGAAGGTAATTTGGCAGTTACTGGAGAAATGAGCAAAGACGATAACAGAGGTAAAATTGTTTGTGTGCACCACGTCCTTTGTTTTGTTTGCATGTGCTTTTCTAACTTAAGTTTCATTGACAGAGCATTTAGTTTCACAGCAGGAACATCGTTTCTTGAGCAACTCCCCTGGTTTTGATATTGCACAACTGTGGGCTAAACAGCATGCGATGGCAAGTGGAAGCAGTAAAAATGATAAGCTTGATATTGTCGCTCATCCTGTTGGTGTAAAACTTAGCAAAGTTCAGTCTGATCATTCTCCAAATACGCAGCCTGAAACTCTTGGTGCTGACACAACTGTTGCTACTGGACATGCTGCCTTTGGAGTACCATTTTCTGATGTTCGTTTGGAGAAAGTAATGGGCGTGTGTAGTTCTGCAGTCACATTTCTGAGGAATAGAATGGATAGGTCTCGAAAGCGTGGCTCAAACTCAATATCCAGCCGGGCTGCCCTGATGCTCGTTAGTTTCTCTCTCTCTCCTGCATACTTATCTTGAATGTCATGCTGACACAGTTTGTTATAAGCTCCATTCCTTGTTTGGACACAAAGGGGAAGTAGTTAGCTTGCCCAGATCATATCAACTTAGAAAAGTGCAACATATTGTTTTTTTCCTTGTTTATTACATTCAAAGATAAGGAGGTTTTTTGTTGTTTATTTGGATTTCAGATTCCATATAGGTTGACGAAGAAGGCACAGTTTACTAATCCAAAAATGGATAACTGTGCACCAAAATCATCCTCGTAGTTTCCTCTGGAGCTACTCATAATGTTTTGCAGCCTCCCTCATCCATTCCATGTGCTTAGCTAGCTCAGTAGCTCCCTTTTCTTGTGGTATTAAGATGGGTTTTCCATTCAGTTACATTTGTGCATCTAGGGTGTTATGTACTACTTAGATGTTTTATCAAGGTGTTGGCACAAATTTTGGCCTACCTAAATACATGTGAATATTTATGCCATGAGAGATAAAATAATAAATAATTCAGATGGTTATATGCCATATACAGAAATCATAAAATAAATGAAATTAATATATCTAAAAGAGACGCATGACAAAGATGAAAGCCTATGCAAATATATACCCGTTGTATATATTTGTATACCATATATTGTTCATTCACAAAAGGAGGAGAGATGTATATTGTTTATCTACATTCCAAGGAAATAAAAACATATATATAGAAGCAAATGCGTTTGGACACGCACACACGTTGGGTTAATTAAATTATGGCCATGAGCGTACGTGTGTATATACGATGCGTATCTGTACACAATTGACAAGCTAGCTAGCCAGCACATATACGTAACACACGTACGTGCATGCGGCCCAGCCCACACAAGAAGATGTCGACTGTACGTTCTCCATAATTACTTTGATTAAAGAATAAATAAACGGCCCAAAACCGGTTGTCGGGCAAGGGTTCAAGAGTTCACGAGCTGCGCGCTTACACGTTCAAACAGGGCTGCGTCTGGTCGACACCGCTCACAAGCGCCTTTCGCACGATCTCCGCTCCCGTTGATTCAAACTTTGGCGCCAAGCACCGGTTAATCAAAGGAAAGAGCGCCAAAACACCACGGAACTGCTCTTGCTTTAGGCCTATAAATACATGGCCAGTAGTAGAGAGAAGCCCGGCTCCATCGCATATCGCCTCAGCTGCCCCGCTCCATCTCGCATATCGCCTCCAGTGCCTCGCCGCATCACTCAACACATAGTGCCGTCAGTTGCGCTAACCGCCCGCCGGAAGTTCACCGTCAGGTTGCCCCTCGGCGCCGCCGAAGCACACATCGGTGCCCCTTCGCAAGGAGCGCTACGTCCGTCCGTCGGCCCTCGCAAGAAGCCGCTGCGTCGTCCGTCCGCCGCATCCCGAAGAAGGTGAGCGGCGTTTCATGGCGTTCTGCTGATCCTCTTCCACGTCTTCATCTTCACGGCTCCACGGCGCGCCCGGCAACAACTTCATCAACACCATGATCAAGACCTCGTGCGCAACCTTGCTCTCTTGAGCAAGTTGCCATGAGATGATCCAAGGCCCCAAGCCGATTTGTTATGCAAACCGGATAGGGAAGAGCCTTGTTCTCGTGAACAAGAGCTATCGTCTCCAAGATCAAGACCTCGAGATGCGGCTTGGCTCCATCGGGCAAGTTGCTATGAGATGTCTCAAGACCCCATGCCGGATTTGTCGTGCAAACCGGACAGGAAAAGCATTGTTCTCTAGAACAAGAGCTAAAACCTCAAACATGCAAAGATCGTCATCTTCTCGCAATCAATGCGTGCATGGGTTCAAATCAACAGGAACCTTTGCTCGGAAAGACACAGAGATAGATGCAAACTCCATGCAAAGCGCTGCCCATATGCGTTATATGTGTATATGCAGTCCTCTCTAGACAGTTGTCTTCTTTGCATTGCATAAGTAGCTAACCAGCGTCTACATGTACATGTGATGTATATTAGAACAGCCATACTTTGTGAACTAACTAGCTTGCATGTGCAGAGTGCGTCATCGATTGACTAGCCAAACATATATATATATATGTGCACATATACCTATATATCGATCCACCATGCATTGCATATTTAGTCCATACATCTCGCACGCCGCTAGCAAGTCTCGGCATCAAACCATAGCACAAGCCACATGAGCAGAAAAGTGCCAAGCTGATTCATATACCGATAAATTTGTAAAGATAAAATAAATTAAAATCAAATGATCGTCATCCTAATAGTCGCCAGTACTATCCAAAGTTAATAAATAAATTAATATCCCCTTATGTGCTTAGGTGGTCTTCATCCTTGAACCTAGATCCTGCTGTGTCACAAAAATGAATCAAATAAAATTAGTCCTTCCATGCCAAATCCCATGCGTCCATGCCACGTCCATCACCCAGATGCTAATTAACTTGTCTGCGGCGTTCGGCTAAAATAAATAATATCATCATAGTTTCCCGAAACTACCATACATGCCAAGCATAGACTCTCTATAAATACCGTGCACCATATGGGCACGTCAAATATTGCATCTCAGTTAGACAACATTCATATATGATTGTGCCTAATTAGCTGATAAATCAAAAATCAAACCAAATCAAATTTAAATAAATGAGATTGCACGTGCTGATCCACGGTCAAACACCATGCTATTAGTACGCACGCTGACCTTGATGAAATAATATATATAATTACATAGACCCTGGCCGAGGCCGGTGACGCAACCTCGGCCATAGTAAAATAAACGTCGTCCTAGCTTAAGCCCAAACGAAATATCGCACCCTATATATGATGAGTGCATCGTATATGTCAAAATATGTTAATCCATGGTCTCGCACGAGACTATATCAAATTTAGTCTCTAAGATAAATCACGTCCATGTATACGTGATATAATAATGAACCAAGTAAATTAATGTCCCTCCGTCGACATTAGCATATGTCAAAATGCATGTAAGGCATCCATGTCCAATCAACTAAGCGTAAATCATATGCCGGGTTAGTAATTAAGACCTAGCCTTATGTCATGGTCCAAATAAATAACATGATATACACTCAAAATACGCATGAGTTAAATACATGCGTACTCAACTAAAAGACCCAAACAAGCTATCCGCCACTCATATATTTAAAAAAAGTGAAGTAGCTCATCGAGAAATTCATATTCATCCATCGGCAACTACAAGACTGAAGAATTTGTTTTCTTTTGTAGTTTGTAATAGGAAGCCATATGATGTAATCTTTATTTATCATGTAATCATGTTGGAACTCTTAATCAGGGGTTTTCTCTTCAGAGATGTAATTAACATAATTTTTATGAAAATATAAGAATTATGGAAGTATGGACTCGCATTACCTGTTCTTTTATATTTGTCCCGTCTAAATTCACCAAAATTAAATTTGTCTCTGCTGACGTGGAGGCGGGTCGTTAGCCGCCCGTTTTCCCGCCATCAGATTCTGGCACGCCCGGTGGGACCTACTTCTCACCTCATCTTTGAGTTCCATCATGTTTGCATCATATGGCTTTGACCTAAAATGTCAAATGAAGTTTTATGCATAGATATTTGCATTCAAGAAGACTCATATATGGTTTTCTTATATATGAAGGTATAATTTGGACGTGTGCAAGAGTTCGTCACCATCCGCATTGGCTCCCTTTGGGTCGATGTGCCCATGGGTCCCGCTTGTCTCCAACAACGCAAGTTCGCTCGACACCACAACCTGCCTCTCCGGTGTGTGGTTGCTCAAGACCAAGAAGTTGACTCCAAGCCCGAGGAGGGCTTCACTCCTGTAACGCCCAAAGTCTGCTAAGCGACGGGCAAGGAGATTCTTGCCAAGGCAAGGATGGCCTCTAATGAACGTGCCACCAATCGGGCGCAAGGCCGCACCTTTCAACAAGGCTGCACCTACCAATGTTGTGGCTGCTAGCTCATCCAAACCCTCAAGCTCCAAGGTGGCGGAGCTTCCGCCCCGCCACACTTGGGGAGTGGCACTGTCTGCATCAAGAGGGCGTCGCCGCCAAGTCGACTTCCACCGATGGCATCCTCCTCATCAAGCGCAAAAGCAAAGGGGAATGACAACACCAACGCCACCAACTATTAACAAGTTGGGGCTTGTCACCCAAGCTTGCTCCAGCATACTGGGGCAGCTCCAACAAAGATCGCACCTACCACAAATATTCCACCTCCAAGTAGGGGGATAGTGTTTGAGGATTCTCCTCAAAACCCACTGACCTAGCAACAAGGAAAAGGCTTCTATTAGCAAAAAGGAAAGGCCGGGTAATAAAAAATAATTTGTCATCCAATCTTGACAACAACCCCTCTCACTCCATGGACCAAGAAAAGATGTTCATGGTTGGTGGTAATGAAATCTCGGTCACGGTCACATCCTCAACCACAACGGTGGAGCACTTCTGCGAGATCTCCGTAGTAAGGAGTCTAAGGCCCTCATAGTTGGCTTAGATACCGAGTGGTTTGAGTGGGACCGCAAGAAAATAGCCCTTATTCAGATATGTGTTGGCAAGAAGTGTCTTCTTTTCAAGGTCGGCCACGCCGGCATCATCCCCGATGATCTCAAAAGTTTCCTTGCGGACGAAAACCATGTTTTCGTTGGCGTTGCAATCGCTAATGACCTGGATCGGCTACGGGAAGGTCACCAAGTTGAACTTTCTAACAAGATAGAGCTGCAAGCCATGGTGCCATTTATAATACCAGGCAAGCATTGGGACAATGTGCCAAGCCTTGCGACTCTCGCACAAGTGTTGTTGGGCGTGTCTGTGGAAGGAAAGGGTACTGCACTCCGTTATAAAGAGTGGGACAATGAGCTTCTGACAGACGACCAAATCAAATATGCATCCACCGATGTTGTCGTGCCATACATGATCGGAGAGATGTTGCAGAATGAGTATGGTTGTAATCTTCATTTCGTGCAGTCTCCTAACCCTAGCTCTGACTCTTCGGGTGACATTGAAGACATAGAAGATCAACACGTACAGTTGTGTTTTATCGAGAATCAACAG